TTCAAAAAAGATGATCAGAAATTATTCCTCACTTTTTATTGCTCCAATTCAATATTGTTTACAAGTTGCACGCTAAAAATAAGACACATGACCTTGACATTGTTGACATTGACGATAACACCCACGCCATAGATACAATTCTTCTTTTTCCAGCACTTATACTTTGCAGTCTTTCCTTGCTTTTACCGTGCAGTTGAGATCTCAAAACTTCGCCTTATTCATATTTCTCGTGAATCTTTAGCTTTATGATACAATTATCTTTAAAAAAAAAACATAATAATGTCTCACTATATATTTTTAAAGGTCACAGCAAGATTTTTATTCTTCTCATGTAGATGTTTTAAAATAAATTCTGCTTCAAAGGAATATTTCCAACAGATTGTTGGAAGACCTGGTCTCTAAAGACTAAATACATGATAGGTATTGTCCATGAGAAACTCCAGCATTTTTTAAATATCAAGTTTAGTGTATTTTGTATGTAGAATCAGAATTATTTTTAACAAGGTAATTTTGTAGATGACTAATCATAAGATATGAAAATTTGCTATTTCCATTATAAAATAAACTAAAGGAATCGACTGGGGTTTCCAGTGCACAATAATTCTGACCGTATATTGCAATTAGAATAAAACATTTAAAAAAAATAATTATTTATCAATTTAACAAAATTAACAAATCAGAGGTAAAAAAATAATTATTTATCAAATTAACAAAATTAACAAATCAGAGGTAAAAATTTATTTTTTAAAAAAACTTTTCAATAGAAAGATAGAATGACTTCGTTATTGTGTGTTTTTGACGTTATGATAAACTAAAAGTTTTTAAGAGGGAGTCATAAAAAGTGTCACAAAGGAAAACAATTTCAAACACAGGGAATTGAAAATATTTAAGTTTTTTGTCATTTCCAGCATAAATCCTTAGTATCCGTCATATTTTGTAATTCTCTATAAAAATAAAATTAAAACAAAAAATGTTGTAAATTTTGACCTTTTGAGATGCCCCCTCTGGAAACTAGACGGTAAAATTTTGTCTTTTACAAGTAATGCACAATATATTATTACTCATAACATACTATAATTTGTTGTAGTAATTTTATACTTTGCTATGAAGTGTGGAAAAAAGGGCATTTCCCCGTATAATCCTGAAGTAAATGTAACTGTAATTTGAGATGGCCCCTTTAAAACAATTCTCCAGAAACTTCGCACGTACTTTGAAGTTAATGTTAGCAACACTTGGCATAAATGTTAAGAGTTTCTCTTGTATTTTTACACAAAAAAACCATGTCGGCTTCCTTGGGATGGGTTACCGCTACACCTTACTACGGAAGCCGGTAGGTGCCAGGTAGAAAAATATTTTATCTGGCAGCCGCCAGATAATTATCTGAAGGCCGCCAGTTAACCTTCTGGCGGCCGCCAGAAAGTTATCTGGCGGATGCCAGAAATTATATGGCGGCCGCCAGAAAATTATTTGGCGGTCGCCAGATAAGTCTCTGGCGGCCGCCAGTTATTTACAAATGTATGTGGTGGCCGCCAGATAATTATTTGGCGGCCGCCAGATAAAATATTTTTTTCTACCTGGCACCAGCCGGCTTCCGTACCTTACAGTACCCAGCGAAAAAATCTAATGCTGGTTAGCGCTATTTATCGTATTCACTCGTAGACCTCGACTGAATGCTTTAGACTTCAACGTATAATGAGCCGAAATAGAAAATCCGAACTTCTCTGAAATGTAACTTCAAATACTTACTATCATTTAATGAATCCGATACAATTTATTTATTGTGAAGGATAGACATCCTACGGCATATTACAATTATGATTTTGTATATACATAGATAGACAAAAATGATTGACAAAAAAGAAAAAGATTTCGAACCTTGACAAGCTCAACCTCACCCCCAAGGAAAAAAACTTGCTCAACCTCTATCAAGTGAAATAAGTTTTTAGGTTGGAGTTATGTTTGATCGTACTGCAACAGAAAGTGAGGGAGGGACAAAGGACCTATCAACTGCTAAATGTATATTTCCTTAGTCAATCAAGAGCAAAGACTATTTTCGGGAAAAAAAAACATTAAGAGAGGGTAGCTCTTTTGCCTAACCCCATACCAAGTGCCAGGAAAATAACTGTTGCACAAAGTTAGGAATCTCTAAAGTTCAAAATAGGACAAGGCTTACGATGTCTTAACTTTAGAAGAAATCTTAATATATGCATATATCTTAAGGTAGTCCGATCCTCAGGTACTGAAAATCAGCTTTTAAGTCATTGAAAAAGCTAACAAAAATGTCTCTGATTTCACATAGTAACGTGAATTTACCCATGGAATTTCTTTAAAGTTCATCATTATAGTTAATCATATTATATAGGGAGAATTATCAAATCTCAAATATATTTTCAGGAAATGCGAATAAAAACACCAGCTATGCATTTTCTATTTGAAAATTGATCAAAAAATATAATTTAGGATCAATAAATATAGGTATCCAGGCATTTGGAGAAAATTGCATCTTTTCTGCTTATACAGTATTTTAGTTCTTCTTTATTACTTCAATTGTCATATAATATATAGTGTAAAAAGCTTGTGCTATCATTGCTAGACATCTCACATCACATATCACGTCTAATATCTTATAATGCTAATAAGCATTGGTTTCTGAAACTAGACTTAAGGAAATTCAATTTCTCTAAAAATGAATTCATTTTTTTTTCTTTTATGGGGTACAAATGTCAACTTTTTTACAGGACTGTTTCTAAGACTTCAAAGAACCTTGACTTACATTAAGATGCATAAAATGAAAATTGTTGCACGAAAAAATCTCAATTCAGGCTTCATTTTGAAACTTTTTAAATAAAATAATAAATTTAAGAGTTATCCTTTATGGCTGAGGATCGGATATCCTTAAGTTAGGACAAATTTGATAGCCTCACTTAGGAATAAATAATCCCTTAAGATAAATCATAGTACTAAGTTGTTTTCTATAGCATACCTGCAGTTCATTTCCTATATATCAGGCAAATAGTATTGGGTGGGCAAGGGAAGGGAGCCTTCCCCACGTTTCCCAAGAGTAACCTTTTGCTGTTCATTTATTTAGGATGGAAATTTTCAATGACCCACGCCCCATTTTTGTTGCAGTATGGTCTAGCTTCAGCCCCCTTCTCCCAACCTCACAAACCATCTCAACTCCCTCCCCCCCCCCCCCCAATAAAAAAAATAAATTGATGTTATCTTTTTAATCCTTCTCAGTTTTTTTAGATACCTTATTTTTCTTGTTTTTCAGTTATTATCCCGCTAACAAATTTAAGCTAACAAATAAGAGAAAATAAAGGATAATAGGTATAACTGTAAATAATAATGTAAAGGAAATCTCACAGCTAGCTGGTGATCTATCGATTATTCGTGATAGTAGCGAGGAATCCCATTTAGAAACAAAAAGTATTGAAGCGATTTTTGAAATGTCAGGACTAAGAGTTAATCTTTAAAAAACCAATACAGTAGAAATTGGATATTCAAAATATATAGTCAGGATATCCTTTCCAGAGATTTTAATCTGAATTGGGGAGCTTACAGATTTACTTTATTTGAAATCATTTATGATTTAGATTTACTTTAGATTTACGAAATATGCCTAAGCTGAATTATCGCCAAAATTAGATAAAATCAATATTAAGTCAAAAGAGACAATTAACACCAATGGGAAAAATTACTGCTATCAAAACTTTGATCTTGTCTCTTCTAAACAATATTTTAGGCAATTTTAAGTCTTGGTGGTCTTGATGATATGTTTTGCAGAGAAATGGATATACTATCCTTTTCCTTCTCCTGGAGTCATTCCCTGAATAGAATAAAAAAGGATGTAATCATTATAAAATATGTAAATGGGGATTAAAGATGATAAATGTTCAGGCATTTAGATTCTCCACAAAAATATTTTGGATACGACAACTTTTTTCAGAAAGGGGTTTAAACCTGTCAATTTCATACCAAATTTAGACCTGAATAAAATAACAACCTGTGGAATAATTTGAATCAAAGAAATCACTAACAATAAATTCTGGGTTTACGTATTTGATCATGGATGAGCTACGAAATAAACAAAACCCCACTTAAGTAACAGCAGTTGCTCAGTTATTTTACGACTCAAATATCCTTGTGAGTGGAAAAGTATCTTTAATAAGGTATTGATTCACTCAAGTATCAAACACTTTAATAATCTGATCAATAAGAAAAGGTTTCCCCTGACTTTTTCATCACTCTGTGATATTTATCCAGAACAATTTTTTTAGAATACACACAAGAAAATATTTAATTGACAATTTGTCGATAGGATTGGTCGACATGATTTGGAGCCTTACAATTACACATAAATCAGCAAACTCAGTTGTGGTTTTTTCCATCGCTGAAGTGCTTTTTTTCTTCGTTTAATAAGCCATACGCGTCATAACCACTTCGATTGATGTTAAAACCAGTTTGTTAGCAGAAAGTTGCTTTGGGTATACATTTAGGATATGATAAAATGCACCAATAAAAATATATTCTATAATCTGTTAAGTTATTCACTGTATCTGTTTTAAAGAGGTATGTCCTTATGATTATAATAAAATAACGAGATTACCGTATTACTGGATCCAAATGCCACGTTGTAAATTTTGAATTTACCGGGTGGCAATAAATACAAAATTGACAAGTTGGTAAATCCAAAATTTACAACATGACACAAAATTGAACTCTACTGATGTTAACGTCTTACAAACCTAAATTTTGTCGAAACCCTTTTTCTTCGAGTCATCAAAAACTCTTCTTGGATGTTGTTGTTGAGACTTTCTACTTGCAATGGAATGAAGAAATGATGTCCTCCGTTGAATTATAACAATTAGTGCGATCAAAAACATCACAATAAATAAACCAACAATAGTTCCAATGACCACCGTTGTACTGTCATAGGAAGGTAATTGTTTCTTTTCGAATAATTCAACATAGCCTGAAGAAAATGACAACAACTAAAGCAATACAAAATTTTGTTGTAAATTAACCTGATCATAGTAAACAATATCTTTACTATTCTTACACTGGGAAACAGAAAACGCGCCTTGCATGGACATTCCTTCGTCTGGACATCGTTTGCAATTCTGTTGACCAGATCTGTCCTGGTAGAATCCTACAGGGCACTGGAAACAGGTATTATTGGAATAAAACCAACCTGGTCCGCATTTAGCTTTGAAAGCAAACAATAACCTGGTATCATTTTCAAGATATTGCTTTACCTTGAGACATACAAACGTTGTTTACAAATCATTTCACAAACATTCTGAGCAAATATGAAAATAACTTTGTTTGCTGTGTGATTTAGAATACATGTAGATGCTATGAAATTTGAAACTAAGTTATTAAATACCATGCAGGAACATATTGATTTGACGTAATCATAAAATTAGTTTCCCTTAAACTAAAACATATACTAAGATTCATACCAAACAAGCAGTTATTTACAAAAGCGTGTATTTCTTATGATTTCTAATTTGAAAAAGACTTTTAAAAACTTTTGCATGTATTGAATCATGTTCCAAATTTTAAAACATACCACAGACCACTTTTCCATTAACTTGGTAGAATGTAGAACCTTTAGCACAAATTTCAGACATTGGACCACCTGTTAATTCACCAAAGTCACATATCAAGTTTGAGCATGTTTTAAGAAACATGCCTGTTTGGAAAATGTCAATTATATTATGTCCATGAGCGTCCATTTGATGTATCAATTGTTCCTCGTCAATATCATACCTTGAAAGATGTTTTTCTTGAATTAGAACTATGCTGTAGATATCAAAATTGCAAAAAATAAACATAAAAGACATGTAAATACAGTGTAATTGCTAAAGTAACTCCATTGATCAAAGTTCGGTAGATTATCAAATTAAAATCTGATTTTAATAAATTTAATAATTTCTAATAAAATTCTGATTGTGACCAAAAAAAATACAAATAAAAAAAAATGAATAAATAAATAATAATAATAATAAAAATGATAATAATGATATTGACTGAAATATATCTTGCAAGATATCTTACGAAAGTTTTCCTTCCATAATCATCGATATCTCCAATTTCTGTGATGATAGTTGTTGTCCCTCTATCCTTTGGAAAGGCCTGTCACAAAGTAAAATATGTCCCCTGGGACAGAGTCCAGACTGATTAATGCAATCCCTTAACTCTGCTGCATTAATTTGGAGGTGTGGACAGTTAAAGGTAAAAGTGTAATTTCTTCTTAGATAAGCTGGTTCGGGTTCTAAAGATACACACGTACTTTGAGTTTTCAGAAATTGGCATTTTTAAAATATTTTTTTGGTGTTAAGATTTTGTTTTACATGTACTTACTTATGCATGACGTTGTTATGAAATCTTCTTGAAATTCTGGATTCCAAACCCCATTTTCACACGTATGTGTATCATTATTTTTCAAAAGGTAGCCATCATCACAGGAACTTATTGTGCACGTTAGAGCTCCCTTGTTTTGGCATCCCAAAAAACCATGAAATGGTACAGGGGGTGTTGTGCAGGCTTTGTCTAAAAGCAAATGAAAACATCCTATATTCATATGTATTTTTGTGTTTCCAAACTGAAGTGCTTTCGTTTATTTTTGGCTAATATACGGAAGCCGGTTGGTGCCAGGTAGAAAAAATATTTTATCTGGCGGCCGCCAGATCTTTTTATCTGGCGGCCGCCACATAAATAACTGGCGGCCGCCAGAAACTTATCTGGCGGCCGCCAGAAATTATGTGGCGGCCGCCAGATAACTTTCTGGCGGCCGCCAGATAAGTTATCTGGCGGCCGCCAAATATTTATCTGGCGGCCGCCAAATAACTTTCTGGCGGCCGCCAGATAAGTTATCTGGCGGCCGCCAGATCTTTTTATCTGGCGGCCGCCAGAAAATTATATGGCGGCCGCCAGATAAAATATTTTTCTACCTGGCACCTACCGGCTTCCGTACTAATATACAATTCTAAAATCGTTTTTATTTCCATATTAAATCCAACGCATGTGAACGTCATCATTTAACAGTTAGTTACATATTTTACATAATAGTGAATGAAAGGGGCTAGCCCCCCACCCCCATAACCCATTCTATTTCAACAACTCGGGGACATATCTTTTTTCAAAAGATATACACATTTGTATATTAGCATTTATGCAATAGATTTAGTGCCAAATGAATTACCTTGTATTTCTATTACCCTGACTGTGAAACTACAATTATTCACGTTTCCAGAATCATCAATTGCATTATAAACAACTAAATGATCTCCAAAAGATAAGAAGGCACCATTTTGGATATTGCTTGAAAGGGAAAAGTTGCCAGTATTTTCCTCGACATGTATAGGTTCCCAATTCACATATGAACCTTCTCCAGAATCATACTTCTGCACCATCTCTAAGGGACAGTTAGTAAACTGGGGTGGAATTTGATCTAAAACAAAAACATATCATCTTATGATATACATTTATTTTATTTAACATTATATTTTAGATAAAATGGGTGTCATCAGCAAGGAATAAGAACATGCCGAAAACAGGCAGTGATTCCTGTGGTTCCTGTAGATGTTTAATAAGGTTTTTCAGTTTTTATTTTCCACCTGGGGGCCAATGTAATTTCAAAAGTCAAATCTTTCGTGAAGAAAACGATTATTAGGGCGTTCTTTTCAGCACGAGTTATGCTGTAAAAAAAAAAAATTAAAAGTTTGTTGCAATTCTTTAAGGCTTTTCCTAACATATACTATACAAAGGAGTAGTTTCGGTTACATAATCACCATCGAAAAAAAAAAATCAGTTAACATCAAACGATTGACTAACCCAAGTTTGTAATGATGTTTCAGAAAACATTTCTTTGTAAAACTAGGAATTTTTTATATACACATATATGTATTCGGAGTCGTGATTTACTTGTAAATCTGGAAATTCAGAAAAAAGAGAAAAATATGCGTGTCAATTGGACCAAGTGACTTTAACACCCTTATACAAACCTTTGCAGGTCTTTTGGTCAGAGGAAATGAAAAACATTGATTCTTTCGGGGTTTCACCCTGTCCAGAACATTTCTTACATATAGAATCCTCTTCTGTTGTGCATTTATAATTCTCACAGTATTTGGGCCTTTTACATTCTGTAATTTCAAGTAAATTAGTATATTCGTTTTTACAAAAAGTATTTGAAAATTAATTATTCAAAATACCAGTTTCCTAATTTCCTCAGTTAATTCCTGAAAACAGAATAAGGAAAGCGTGTTCTAATGTCATCAGACATAGTTTTTCTTAATAAATAATTCTATGATTAAACCAACTGCCGGGAACAACCTACTTAAAAAAATCCAACATTAAATACACAGACGTATAGAAAACAAAAATGATATATGTTATCTCTCGTTGCGTGACTTCTATTAATGATATTGATATTATTTCTTAAATTATAAAATAAATAAGGAATTTATTTGTGTGAAATATTGAAAACACCTCATCGACCCTATCATCTGTGTTATTGATTTTGGCTTGGCTTGACTGGAAACACTAGATGTTAGGGTCAGGCCAATGCTGAAGAAAAACGAAAAAATATACCAAGTTCGCACAGCGTTCCGAAATACCCATCCCGACAGGAACAAGTGAATTTGTTCCTTAAATTATGACACGATCCTCCATTGATACATGGGTTACTGGCACACTCGTCTATATCTAAAAGATAAAGAAAACATGTAAATTTCTTGAACTGAACATGCCTTTAGCGTTTTATCTTGCTTGAGTGATTCTAATAACTTTCGCTATTCATTTTAATCCGTCGTAAATTGTCATGTGTAAATTTTAACATCATTTTTTTAAAGACCACTACAAAACTACTAACTTTCCACATAGCATGTTTGGGTGATTGGTATTCAAATGGAGGATTATGTCCCTCTTCCAAAAGGGATAATTATGTAATGATGAAAATGGGTTCGTTAATTTAATAAAATCCTCTCAAGAATTAATGTGCTTTTTGTACATTGAAGATTTAAATTTGTTCAAACGATAGCCATTGTCCAAGAAGGGGCCAAAATAAGGTCCAAAGTTTTACATAAAAATGTATAAGGCAAATCTTTAAAATCTTACCAAAAACTACAAGGGTACACTTGAATACTTACAACTCTAATTCATTTCATCATGTGTCTGATATATTTCTTTAAAAATTACAGGCAGCTATAAATTTAGGTCACCTGAGTCACTCCGGTGGCCAAATGCTATCAGTTTTTGTCGTTGTCGTGCGTCGGTCGAAAACTTTTAAACTTTTTCAGCTTCTTCTCTTGAACCACTGAACCAATTTCAACCAATTTTAACATAAAGCATCAATGGGTAAAGGGGTAAAAGATTTGTGAATTTGATGGTCCTGGGTATTTAACAGATAAACTAAGTGCATGGTTTTGATAAGCATGGATGCCTCTTCCAAAATTTTGAATTTCATGGTTCCTCGGTCCAGGGGATGTGGTGTTGAAAATCTTTGGTATATGGAAGCGTATATTATGTTCCTTACCTTGATAACTTGAGACAAATAGATTTCAAGGTTTAACCCTCCAACCACCCACTCACCCCACCCCCGCAAACATACACACATAACTACATCAAAGACAGATTCAAACATTTGAGAGAGATGTTTTCTTATTTTTGAGATTTTATTGAATAAACTTATTTTACCGTGTTCGCATCGTGTTCCGTAATATCCATCCAAACATGAACAAGAAAATCTGTTCCTTAAATTTTGACATGTTCCTCCATTGATACATGGATTGCTCGCACACTCGTCTATATCTAGAAAATGGAAGAAGTATTAAAAAAATAATTTGAATTTTGGTTTTACTTTTTGCGATAATGTGTTATACGAGATGGATTTCTATCTTCATTCCCTTATTATATAATTTCATTACTAATAATTTGGCTAATTTTTTCCGATATAATGTCTTTGGGTTTTTTATTTTAAAACCTGGTTGCGGGCTATATTGATTCATC